ATGTTTACAGTACATCATGGACTCTATTTGTGAATGTGGTTTGCTCTAAAACATTATAAAATAAGACAATTTTGTAAGGTTAAATAACAAATACAGTTATTAAAATTATTTTGCGATAGTAAAAAATAAACTAATTTATGTTAAATTTACCAATAACGAGTGGCGCTGACAATGATGCCAAACAGTAGATATTAGAATTACCATGGAAAATATTGAACTCTTAAAGACTGCTAGATAAGATGACAACACAGAGTCACAGATGTTTTCATATTTCGTTCTCTACAATTTATGATGATTATATTAACATTTACTGTAAATGTATGTATTTTAATATGATTTTATGTGCTTTTAACACTTTTCTAGTGATATTACGATTTCAATATTTGTGGCAGACGGACGTAAAGTCAAATAAAATGACTTAAACTTGATTTTTGTTTTTCCATATATTTTTTTGACAAACGATGTATAATCGAGAACGACGTAACTCAAGGTATACCTGTATATAATAGCATTGCTTATAGAAGAAACTCAACTGTTTATAGCTTCCTTAAAATACCTCCCAGAGATGTATTAGATTCCACAAAAAATGAGAATACATTGGAGCCACTACTCACTCCCTTGACATTCAACTTATGGAACATGCATTTTCTTAACCCTAGATAACTAAACTTAAATTTCAGTTACATTATAACTACACATTCGTCAAGCGGACTATGCATTAAAAAACATTAATATCAATAAAATTGTTTAATAAAAATAGGAACTTGTTATATGGCAAAATAGTATGGATAAATAGGAACTAAATAAGGACAAAATATTTATGAAATAAGATTACACGCAGTTGCTACATATGTTAACATTATGAGGGCCGCAAAACGCATTTTTGCATTTCATGCAACAGTGTTTTGTCATTTGTCGAGCTTTCGATAGACATAAATAGCATATTTTATGTGGATTTGATGCAGAATGTGTAGGAGCTTTTACACTGGGCACATCACCTAGAATATCCTGTAATATGGTTCTGTTATCACGCCTCAGAAGCAGTGTCTGTAGCCGCTGTTGCAGCTGGGACTCCATCAGCCAATTGCAGAGACAGAGTTTACGTTAGATGACATTTATCAACAGAACGGCCTATAGATGTTGGCTGGCTGAACTGCAATTTAAAATGCGTTGCAAAAACAACGATCATCTATTTCTGAACGCCCTCTAAATGAACTTCGGCAAAACATTGGCTCTTACTTTCTTCGCTACTACTCCCGTCTTATGAGTTGTTCGGCCAATTTGTTTGTGACATCAGAAATGGTCGCCAGCTATATTCCGAAAGCTTGCAGAAATAAAATCATAAGGATGTCAAAACCATTGTTTGCCAATTAATGACAATCCTTTTCCATTTCGATATTTAATTTCGTTGCCAATATGGTTTAAAATACAAACAAATCCATATTTAGAAAATTTATACCAAATTCGAAATTCATCTTCGGAATAGATTTTTAAGGAATTATTTCGACATCTTATTACTGTCTCCCTTCATAACTATCGAAATGAATAATTTTAAATATTTTATTATTAATATTACATTTTTTTATATCTATAAACAGATTTATGTAATTATTAAAATTGTCTCGTTTGTTTAACAGTACAATGACCCTGAAATGCATTAATGTTTTATAACTGACATGATACTCGAATTGTAAATAAGTGCATCTGATTTAAATTAATTGTAGTTTTAAGTCTTCACTCATTTGAATATCGAAATTGGAACATTTTTGCTCCAAGCAATTAATTAATGAATAATTTTGTCGATTTGTACCGTTTACAACATTTATCAAAGGAACGATATCTGTTTTTATCTAAACTTTTCCACAAACAAAACTACCACTCGAACTGAAAAGCCCTCTAAACCTGCTGTTGAGTGAGTCTAGAAAATAGGTCAATAACTTGTTTCTAATCACTGTCTACATTGTGGCAGGTGAAAAACGCCTTCTCTGCGATGAAATTTTTCTGAACAGCAGTCTACCCGATCTGTAAACCACTATCGGCCTCTAAACGTTGTCTCTGCAATCGGGTGCATGAGTTTGTCTTCCATCTTCATAAAGAAATTCCACCGGAACATCAATTTTTTTTTTGTTTCTAACATTATTAGAGACATAGATAGCATAGCTGTTTATTGCCAATAGGTTTAGCATATTATAAAACACGCATAGTGGCCACCTTTTTGTTTTGACTCATATTTGAACACATTTGATCTACTATGTCTACTGCACCCTTTGTACTATTATAAAAATGTATTATTTGTGGTTTTCCTGTATTTTCATCAATGTTAAGTTGATCATAAATAGTTGACAAAACAAGCAATTTTATTTGACTTGGCTTTGTACGAAACTAATGTCTTATTGCTGCCGTTCGAAATATTGAAGTACCAATAGCGTGTGATTTAGAATTTTTTAATTTTTCAGGAATTTCTCTTTCATTACTTCTAAGAGTGCCAACTAAGGTCAAATTATAAGGTGACTTCAATAGTTCATCTGCCAAAGATACAAATGGGAACCTGTTATCCATAGTAATGTTACAGTTTGTTCCATGTAAAATAGATGTTATTTCCTTTATGAAAAATGTAGCCAATATTTGTTTCTGAGGATCAGTAACTTTTCCCAAATAAGGAATGGCATTTATCACGTACTAACTGTTTACATCTGCAGCCATAACAATGTACATAACGTACACGACTTTGCAACAAAGTTACGTAGTAACTAAACTTTTGTTGAGCAGACTACGGAATGGCCGTAAGTCAATTTCTAATTGATGTGTGCACACAATTACATCACACACAGCACTGTTTATTCAAATTATTAAAGTAGAAAAAGAATGACCGGAAGGAAGCGTGGGAAAGTTTCTGAATTTCACTTTCAAGCAGAGATGCGTCATCGTGTGGACAAATGGTTAGTTATCTAGGGTTAAGAAAGAGACTAGCTACCACTGCCCCAGCAGCCTTTGGAATGGAGAATGATGTTTGAATCAATCTAAACAAAGCTATAATCTTACAACCAATATGAGAGTTTGTCTGACATAAATGTCTTGAAAAATTGAAAATATAGAAGGTAACCAAAAGATCAACAACCATTAATTACAGAGACATAGAATCCATCTCACCTGCTCAGAAATACATGAAATGTCTTAACTGAAATTCCTCCATCCTCTACATAAGCACGGACAACATTTTTGAAGTATTATACATGTGCATACATTGATTTTCCTGAATTTTTTCAATGTTTGTTAGGTATGATATTGCAATAATAAATGTTCTTTTTGTTTAAAAAATTTGTTCTATTTATGACACACTTCAAATTTATTAAAATAAACCTGATGGCTGTTTACATCTAAAACAACCATTGTAATTAAAGTATCCTTTACCCAATGCTATCTAGGGAAATATTTAGCAGTCAAAATTCAACTGAATCTGTTATGATTCAGTTGAATCATAACAGATTCATAATAAATTGTTATTACATAAAATTTTAATTTTATGTAATAACAATTTATTAAATAATAATATATAATATGTAATGAATGATTATTATAATATTAACTCTACATATTGCAATATAATATTCATTGAAAGTATATTATTATTATACTTTATAATATACGGTGGAACCTCTATATTTGTAATATTCGACATTTGTCACAGTTTGATGACTTTTTTCCCTTCATATTCGTCAGTATTTTCTGTATTTGTTGTCATTCCCAACACCAGAAGTGGCACTAAATTGAATGTCCATGCCAATCAGCTAGCCACATTAGCTAACTGTAGTTAATCAGTCTGCTTTGTGCAGTCATCTTGTGTTCTTGATTTCTCGCATTGATTATTTTCAAAAACTCAAATTTCAATGGCTCCAACAAAGCATACTGACAAAAACCAGCAAAAAAAAAAAAAGCCATTACAACAACAACAGAGGTAAAAAAAAAAAAAAAAACATTATTGNAACTATATATATATACTGTATATTTTATATTATGTATGTACGATGTCCATTTTATAACTTGTGTCTTTCCTCTCCTTAATAGATTACAACTTCTCAAATTTAAAGTTTTATGTATTAAAAGAGTGAAAACAATATCGGAGACAGTTTCTTTCAATTAACACAGAATACTCTTAAAGGAAACATGGCCGAGGAAGATAAATGTTACCACACTTTAACATTGAATTAGCACAGTCAAATGGAATGAAACTTATGGTTAGATATGTAGATGATGCATTCATAATTTATGGTAAAAGTATCATTGTTCAAACTCAAATCATAAAATCTGCCAACAAATTCAAATCGACAATCATCGGAAAAGCTCTTAGAATTTAGGACCCATCTGGACTCGTTCTCGGGTCTTAAGCACTACATTTATATAAATGGCTTGTTCTAATGAAATTTATATAAGTCTCTATCTTTACGCAAGTAGAGAAATTGAGGTAAATTAACAGAAAAAAATACCACAACCATAACCGTACAACTTTAAATGCGCCAATGTCTGTTCAAATATTATTTTTTTTTTAGCAGAACTGAATAATTTTTAATAAAAACTAAAATGATTGAAATCCTCCCACATTTGATAAGATCACCCACTAATTAACAAAAAGTAATTTGCCTACTTGCAAATTATTTTACTAATTTTATGAATAACCACGCCCTCGTGCGTCAAATCCTTGAATCTTTCATGTAACATAATAATAATAATAATAATATATATTAAAAAAAAACCAACAAAGAATAAAATATATCATCAGAAATCTGGCAATTCTATCTATTAATTAGCAATAATTTAGCTGTGAATGTTATTTATTATTACATATTAAAATGTACAACCTTGTAACTTCTATTATAACTAAATTGATATTAATTTATGTAAGAATTAGATAGAAAAACTATACTCGAACCTAACACCGCGTAATATGACGGTCTATGAATTAAAATTTGAATTTTTATTTTTATACGTGACGTTTCACTCACCGTAAGTTAAATGGATGATACCGTGATAAACTATAAAACCAGTTAATGTAATGAAAGCTAATAATTTGGCATTGTTAGCATTAACATGTCGAGTGAATTCGACAGATCCCCCTCCACCATACTTCACTTCTTCCGCCATATTGGATTTCATATTCATTGATAATAGCGCCTTCTAGTTTTTAACGAAGTCTATTCGTATGACGTAAGAATCACGTGATACTGTTAAATCGCATCTTGAATTCAATGGAGAGCGACTGGCCAAGCAAAATTGTTTTAATATATAAGCCGATTTTTTTTTTAACTTTTTCTGCCCTGTGGGCACTAAGAAGGACTCTTATAGACAGCCCATTATGGATTCGGCAGGCCCAAAATTGTTATAACGGCAAGGCTATTGTAAAGCAAGGCAACGGCAAGGCAAATTGTAAAAGGGCAAGGCACTGCTATACGTACAGTACGTCAAACAATGCGTTGACATACGTATAGCAGTGTCAACTCTAAGAACAATCATACACTTTTTTTTTTAATCATTTTAGTCAAAAATTTTGGAAATCCAGGATCGGTTAAGACCGGTCTGGAGATCCTGGCTATATCGGACCACGTCCCTCACCACCCGGTCGAACCCATTATGGGCTTGCTAAAATTACTGAATTACAAACACTTTAAGCTTGCAGAACGCTTCTATATTCAACGATTAAATCAACAATGAAAGAAGGACGTTTCTAAATGGACTGTTGAATTCTTAGTTGCTGGTGACGTTCTCCATGCGTCATTTTTCTAGATATATATTATTGAAAATACTGTATCTTGATACTTTACAGTATTAAATGAATACGTCATTTTTAAAAGATAATTTTCCAAGTTTTCTCTAAATAAATACACGTCAGTTTTTTATGTCGTTTTATATTAAAGTTTCTTAAGAAACTGAAATATCTTCGAGTCGATTTGTTTCATTTCTCAGAATCTGTCAATGAGATTTTTAGTATCGACCATGTTAGTTTCATGGTTTCAAGCATGGAACGACCAAAAATGACAGTTGGCAAAGAAAGTTCACGAAACTCTAACAACAGTTTGCAGTTTGACCTTTCCTACAAAAAGTAAAAAATAATTTAATGAATGATAACAACAATCTATATATATATAAATGAGGATGCTTGTCTGTTTGTTTGTTCGCGCTGTACTCCTTGGCCGTTCGAGCAATTGCTACGAAACTCGGCAGTTACGCTTAAATACTTCTAACTTAGATAATGTCGTATATCCCACCTCAAATTATCGATTGGGTTTCTATATATCGATTAATTTCTGTCAACATTTGATTGCTGGCTTTACATATAGCGCCATTGGAAAAGTTAATAAAATAATTAACTAAATATAGTTCTTACAAAAAAAGATATAATTTTAAAAAATATAAATATATTCACCGAATTACTGGGACAAAGATATAGCGCGAAATAGACACGCTGTTACGCCATTACTGCAACAGGTAAAACATAGCACTTGCCTGCTGCAGTGTAGTAATGTGTTTTTCCCCTGTACATCATACTTTTCCTATTAGCAATAGAGTCGTGCCGGTTATGTATCTAACTCCGTTCGGGGGAATGCTATTGAATTGAAATAACGTAACTTGCGGTACAAATCGGAAGTTCATATATAGTTAATCTAGTCCTCTTTCTCTTACGATTTCCATGTCTGGTGTCAACTTTCACCTAACTTCTTTCTCGAGATTAACCAAGTGATACCTTTATGCATACATATATATACGCACATGTTTTTGTTGATATATATACACGTATCTCTCGATGCTACCGCGTTAATCAAATGCAGTAAATTACCAAGTATATTATATAAAATACAGTACACACACACACATACATACATATATATATATATATATATATACTGTATATTTTATATTATGTATGTACGATGTCCATTTTATAACTTGTGTCTTTCCTCTCCTTAATAGATTACAACTTCTCAAATTTAAAGTTTTATGTATTAAAAGAGTGAAAACAATATCGGAGACAGTTTCTTTCAATTAACACAGAATACTCTTAAAGGAAACATGGCCGAGGAAGATAAATGTTACCACACTTTAACATTGAATTAGCACAGTCAAATGGAATGAAACTTATGGTTAGATATGTAGATGATGCATTCATAATTTATGGTAAAAGTATCATTGTTCAAACTCAAATCATAAAATCTGCCAACAAATTCAAATCGACAATCATCGGAAAAGCTCTTAGAATTTAGGACCCATCTGGACTCGTTCTCGAGTCTTAAGCACTACATTTATATAAATGGCTTGTTCTAATGAAATTTATATAAGTCTCTATCTTTACGAAAGTAGAGAAATTGAGGTAAATTAACAGAAAAAAATACCACAACCATAACCGTACAACTTTAAATGCGCCAATGTCTGTGTTGACCCTCCCGAGGCAACACATACGAGTTGGGTCAGGTGGTATCTTACTGAGGTCAGTTTTTATTTTAAAATAGTGAATTTATCAACAACGCAATAAAAACTACGATTATATTTTAAATTTTTGCATGTTATTTCCTTTCTAATGGTGAAAATAAAAATGCGTTTTATTTTCACTGATGTTTCGTGTATACATAACAAAGGAAAGTATTGGAATCTTGTCAAATTTTACCCTCCGTGTTATTTGCAAATTTTTCCGAGTCCCTGAACCCAAAAGGTTTTCCTTTTTTTTTACTAAAAAGTCAAAAAAGAATCCATCTGTGGTTGTGTAATACAAATTTCTGTTTGAACTTTCCAAACCACAAGATAACATTAGAACAAACGCATTCACACTTGACATCTGTAAATTTTACTTTTATAATTTTATTTATTAGAAAAAGAAAAGTTTTAATTTTTAAAGTCAAATAATTCAAATCGATGAATGTTATGACGTAACGCGTGTCACGAATTTATCGAAAGTAACCAATTGTTGAAATGCATTGTTAGATAATTCCATTGTTGGCGCCGTTTTGTTGCAGGAGAAAATATAGAATCCCGACGAGAAGACGAAGAATGGTGAAGCAAAAGTCGATCCTTTCGGAGGTACGTGTTCGTTTTTAAATTTAAAACATCTCTGCGACATTTTTCGTTAAAATTCTGACAATTCTCTTAAGTAAACGATGGTCTGCGGAGAAGACCGTCGTGCGGAAGGTGGCCGTCTTTCCCTTTTTTTAAATTTTGTGTAGGTCCAAGAGCGAAGACACCGAGGAGAGTCGGAGTGTGCTCTGACCTTCCCGGATGTTTGGGCAATTGTATTGATTAAGGATTCGCTTTGATTATTAAGTATTATGGTTTTCTATGTTTAACTTCTATTTCGAATGTGGTCCGAGAAGTGTTCGAAGTACATTATATTTCATTTGCAATATTCGTGATTTTGTTTCATTATGGTAAGATATTGTCACTGACTTTCATTGTCAGTAGTTAGTGTATTGCATATACTAGTTTATATAGATATTTGAATTGAAATAACCTGATTTCGAAAGTTCGTATATAGTTAAAGAGAGCCTTTTCCCCCAGAGCTTTCCCCATCTTCTTTCGACTTTCATCTATCTAATTTCTTTCTCGAAATGAAGAAAGGACACACAGATAGACGACTCCAGAGGAAATTTATATGTCTATATTTAAATCACGTTTATGGATGATTTTGAATCTTTGGCTGTATGGCAACAAATAACCCGTTAATACCAAGTTACTACATAATTTATTTACGTGGTTAGAGATTTGTAGAATAAATAAAAAAATACTTATAGAACGAATTACTTTTTAACTAATTCCACGTGTTGTGGTTATGTAGACAATTATAATTACTGCACGTATTCATTATATTATTTTCACTTAACAGTTGATTTATTAATATCAAAAAATTATGTTTTCTACACGAAGCGCGTTGTTCTCACCGAATGTACTCTCCACGGCATTTAACAACCGTGACGATGTAATAGTGTTGTACTTGGTTTATGTACAGTACTTGTCAATAAATTATGGAAATCGCTTAAGACTCTTTTACACGATTGCTTCGCATTGTCCTTGTTGTTCAGCGATAATCCGACGAGACACACAGAACGTGTAGAAAGAGGACTACGGTTTACACAAGAGGTACTTAGGGGTTCGTATTGGATACACTATAAGTTTGAGGACCACATTACTACAAAAATCATGAAATACTGAATCAATTTTAACCAATAAATAAATATATACTGTGTATATATGCAATTTTCATTAAGGAATTGCAAATTTAATAACAGAATAACGTTGAATTGTGATAAAACATATATACAGATTTAAAATAGTAATTGCAACTTGATTTTAGACAGAGGAATGAAATGACATTTAAGCGACTTTAAAAAATCCAGCAACGCGTTGCGTATCATTCCCAGCCGTTAAAAGATTTTATTAAAAAAAATAACTTTTATATTATTAATCGTAATAAATAAATAAAATTGTGTTACGAGATTTTTAATTATTATACAATAGTAAAAAGTCTAATTTCGAGGGTAGGGGTGAGTTTGTAAATATTATTTTTAAGAGTTGATCGCCATTGCAAACCCCCCATAAAATGACTTGGTATTTTAAGAATTTTTAAAATGTGTTAGATTGGTCGCTTGGTGCGATAAACCCTTACTTAAGATAACCTTTGGTGAATATTCCGATGACTAGAGGCATGTATGGGGTGGAGATTTTAATAAATCAATCGCGTATTCACTAGGCACCACTATCATTGTAGTATATATTATTTTTAAACCAAATTTGTCTGTTTTTGTAATTTCGGCAGAAATTTCTGTATTCTGAAAAAATCGCCTGTTGTGTTACCATCATTTGATGTACCGAATCCAGATTTAGGTTTCTCAACAATCAAACTACATTATTCACTAAATTACTTCTGAATTCTAGTTTTGTTTTTAAATCACTGCCACCAGTTTGCCATTCCTTCAGTGACAATTTATAAGCCAATCGCAAAAGATATTCAAACATAAGAATCCAACCGTGTAAGACAGATAATCGTAATCTTAAGTTCTTAATATTTATCTTCCTCAAAATTATTTCCTCGACATTGTTAAATTGCTTCGATATTGCGCATAGGTAACATTTCTGCGTTGAAGTTGTTCGTGTAAATGCATTGCATACTTTGCCATCCACCACGGTAAAGATTAAGTTATGACTAACTTCCAGTTGCCTTTCTTGAAAAACCACATTGCTTTTTTGAATATATTTTATTTGTTCATCTATTTTTCTCAGCAAAGGATGCATCGGTAGACTCTATCACAAATTCTTTTTTAAAGTAAATTAAAAGTATGTTAACGTAAATTTTGAGTTTCGAAGAATGTAATAATAATAATAGCTATGCAATAATCATTTCACGTTTTAAGAAGATCTTTAGCAGCTATCTCGTTCATCTGATAAAGATTCGACAAAGATCTGTTTCCATTACCACGAAATCCAAAAATTAAGGAATATAGAAGGGGAAGAACTAGCAAAACATGAACGTAACCGAAAACCACTGCCAAAAAGAACATTTTGTAAAATGTTATCGACACCTGATTAGTGACTAACAATAAAAATGCCAGTGAGATTATCAAAACAAGAGTATTTTGGATAATGGCTGTTCCTCGAGATTTTAGAGCGAATATCATTCTGTGTTTAGGATTTTTGTCCGAGGCAGAAAAACCGTAAGATAAATGGCAGAGATAACTAGATAACAATCCCACTAACATGACAAATATTATCGAATAGAAAGAATTGATTTTAACTCCCCAAAGGTTGGAGAAACCTAAAACGCCTATCTGAATGGACGTGACGGAAAGAGAACCTAATAATATGCAAGGAATGTTAGGAATGAAGAGGGAAAACACTATTAGAACGACACAGAAACTTATAGGTAGCATCCATAAGACTAGTTGTCGTATGATAGTTGCCAGTTCGTACATGCGAAATAGCATGCTGGTAAATCGAACGGGGATGGGAGAGTCGTCGGCGATCCTATAAAAGTCTTCCAACATCATTTTTTCGCTTTCGGCATCGTTAATATTACGGGTCTGAAAAAAACATCTACTTGCCAAAATTTGAGTCTCCTCTTCGTTAAAAACGACATCGGTCGCTATATCCGCAGTCATGGGCAATTTGAAAAACACGTTTTTTAGTACGAAGATAAATTCTTCCTCCAGAGAAAAATCGTAACTTCTGAACAACCAATTTTTCTTGGGATTATTGACTATACTTAAGAAGATCTTCAGCCAACAGGACGACACGGCGCCCGTGGCGTAAGTAGAATTTTCAAAGCTTTGCATAACTTCTTCTATTTTATTCTGAGTTACGGGATCCGAATAGTTCAACGGAGTGTCTATTATTACTTGCACTCTGTGAGGATAAGCGGTGTAATATTTATAATGACGTTCGTAGTAAGTCGTAATGTAAGAATCCGAAGGAAAGGGATCGGTGATTCCCGACGCCACTCGTAATTTCGTGCACTGCCAGATAGCGACACCCAAATAGGCAGCGTACAAGAGAAAAACTACAATTTTACTCAGGGGTTTTTGTACGAAATATACATATTTCTCCCATACACGAAAGGAAATAAAGAAATCTTCTTCGGGTGTTCCGCATTCTCCGTTTTCCGTGCAACAGAAGAGAGAGCATCTTCCATCTGGAAAAACAACATGTAAACGCCGTTTAAACCGGATCAAATAAAAACAACGTACCTCTGTTAGATTTTTTTGACGTGACGGTGACGCAAATCAGAGGATGTAGTTTCTTCCTCTCTCTGTATCCGCTGAGAGCCAAGCATCCTCCCAAAAACGTAATTTCGTACAAGAAGAAAAAGAGGCTGGTCACAGCGGCGTAAGTACAAAATATTTTCGCGGCCCGAAACGGAGCCGCCAATCCTACTAAGAAGCAAATTAAAGATATCAGAAACACCATAGTAACGGACACGAATACTTCGGAATAAGCTTTTCCCAGTCTTTTATCCACAGTTTCGGTGGCTTCGGTTCTTCTCCAAGCCGATATCAACACGGCCGTGTCTTTCGTTGCGAGACCTACGGGAAAATTATTATTACACGGAGCCATTTTTCTCTATTAAGTGAAAATCTTACCCATGGTCAAGAAAAAATCGAAGACGACCACACTGGTGAATTCCACTCCGCAATAAACGCACAGTCCCCAGGCCGCGGCGATAGACAACAACACGCAGAAGACGGCGGCCACACTTAACCACGGTTTGCTTCGAGTCCATCTCTTGTTCATAAATAGGAAAAAGTTGAAAACGACGACCAACACCAAGACGACGACCAGCAGCTTAGCGGTCGATCTGGTGACTTTCTTCAGTTCTCTGCTGTAAGACCATCTGGAAAACCACTTGACGTCGATATTTTCGCCCGAATGAGTTTCCAAATATTCGACCGCTTTCGCATCCCACAACGTCGACAGTCTATTTCTTTCGCCGTCGCCGTCGTCTAAATAATATAGGAAACGAAAGGCTTCGGCCGATTTTACGTTGTCTTCGAAATCTAATTCGACGCCTCCCAATATGGTGCCATAAAAAACGAAACTACGTCAAAGATATCGTATATATATATAAATGCGTATCAACACGCCAGCACAAATACATAGAAATTAAACTTTATATAAAATGTATTTTTGTTCGGTATAATTACTATAGGTCTAATTCTTTTTCTATATTATACGATTTATTAAACAACGTATATACTCGTATTGGCAATTTGTTCTTACATTTGCTATTTAATAGATTAACTTAAACGTACCTGTAAGTTCTTTCGTCGATGTAAATTGGGTATTTGATCTTCTTTTTTCCTCGAAGCACCTCGTCTATGCTTTCGGCCAATATTCCGGGGTCGTTTTTAACGCATCTCCCTCTCTTCGTAGAGCAGACGTCTTCGTAAGTCAAGTTTTTTCCATCCGCTGGTACGGACAGAGCTCGAATAGCCTTATCCAACAGGACGCATTCCTCCATTACGGGTTTCGTCAGGACGTTGCCGCCATTTTTTGCGGTGATCAACACGATGAGGAATTTCGCCGTCCTCGTCATTCGGCCCAAATCGAAATTAGAAGAGACGTTCATGGGGAAAAGCTCGGTGGCCAGCAGTTTATCGTCCAGGGTTCTTCCGTCGACGGGAGCGTACAGATGTTCGATACCGATTACCACGTTGATTCGGAGGAAACCCGTGGCCAGTAGAACGGATAATCCCAGAGGAAGCAAAACGAAATACCAAGGATGTCTGCCGACGAAACTCCCGGTTTTGCCGAATGCTCCGGAGACCGCCCGGTCCACATAAGTACAAACCATCTTGGGCTTCTGCGGATAAGCGAAAATTTAATAATTAAAAAAATTATTATGAAAATAAACATTAACCATTTCTCAACTAACAAGTATGTAACGCGGCACTTTTGGCAAAACTTTTACCTCTCTAAAATATAATTGTACTACACCTAATTACTTTTGCTAATTTTGAAAATATTTTATTGTAAGAAGAAAAGGTGAGGGAAGTCTGTTTCAAAACAGTCCAATATGTTTATTTGTTCACAAATTATCTACTTGAGGATGCAATAATCGTAGTTGGGTATTTTCGCGTGTAACGGCGTGTTCTATTAGGACAAAACATGTTTTGTGACTGGATGCAATGCTAGATAAGCCACGTGTTCGAAGAATAAGATTATTTAAAGGACCTAAAGTTTCGGAATTATTATCGAAGTGGTGCGAATGATTCCTAGAGAAGACAAACTTTACAAATTAAGAGATTTCGTTTGCGAAAAGCATTTTGTATCTTACTTTATTATTAAAGACTGGAATTCTACTAACAGAAGTATGAAAACATTTCTAGGAGTAAATAGAAGCTTAAGTAAACTTAAAAATTTGATGGCAAATTGTTTATTGAAGCTGTTTTACATAGTTTTGTGATGTTTTCTTTTAGGTGATGCTAAACATTACTTCGCGCATCCTTCGAGTGACAACATAATGGATTACGTAATTTCGAATTTAAACCGTAAATAATACTTTAAAAAATTTTGTGAAGAAGTATCTGTTTATGAAGACCTCATAGAACATATTTTATGTAAGGCATTGCAATTTTCATGTAAAGAACACGCAAAAGAGATACTAGCTTATATAATTCATTGTTACATTCCATTAAGAATGTGCCACTATGCAAAACGAAAAAGGTTGCGAACCATTGATGTGTAGAATAACAGAATATATTAGAGTTAGGAGGAACTTAATGGGTCAAAATAAATATAAGTTATGAGGAATAGTTTTCTTAACATAACATTTTTCTTTTTAAATAGTCAAACGGAAAAAGTTTAACCTCCAAAAAACACTATTGTGTACGGCCTTGAAACGAAGTAACAATGAATGGTTATTATAGATATAAAGAATCAGTTGTTATTTATGTGTATGAAAAACGTAGGAATCTTTTTTCTACTGAAATCTAGTACTATAAAATATATTTGCCTCCACTTTATTCTTGGTGAATAGTTATAAATAAACACATTTAAACCAGCACGTGAAGGCATTCTTACAAACTTGCACGTGTAGCTGACAAAAGTAATGACACCAGTCAGTAGCAGAACTTGATATAGATAAAGTATACTGACCGAACTACTTAAAATTCTCGCAGAGAAGAAAGAGTCAATAACTAGTCGGAAACGAGTTCAAGGATCGCAGAGTTAATTTAAAAGTTCTGTTATTAAACACGGCCTTGTTCGAATATATTAAATATTTAAGCAATATTTTAACATAAAAAGGAAGAAGATGTGCGAAAACTCTTTGTAAGAAACAATAGTATAACACTCTTTTATTGTCTGTTGGGATGGAAAAGTATCGAAAACTCAACAATTAATATAAATCACGAGTGCCTCATTTTACAAACCATTAAAAATATATTTTTTTAAATTGTAAATGAAGTTTATCCCGTTAATTACGAGTAATCATTTATATAGTGTAAATTTTATCATTCAAAATATATAATTAACTTCATTTACAATTAAAACGAAGTCTTTTAATGGTTTGTAAAGTAACATTTTTTCAAGGCTATATAAAAAAGATAAGTTTAAGTAACTTGATATAATATTATGACATACTTTTTTAAAGAAAAAAATTACCGAACGAGACTCATCTTTTTCTTTAAAAAGAGCAATTACGGAACAATTGGTAGCGTTACGGCACTAGTGGTTCTACTCTTACACACGCCTTTGGTGACGAAATTTAAAGTTAAAATTTTAATAAATTATAAAAATTAATATAAAACGTGGCACCTTACCNATAATTAATTATATTTAAGATATAAAGTAAATCTTAAAATTGAATGATATAATTATTTTTTATTTTTTAAAGTAACTTAATATGTCCTGCAACATCCAAAATAATAATAATAATGCTGTGTAAAATATGTATAAAATTACTTTTGAATTACATGGAAATTTTCACAAATAGAAAAAAATTTATGAAAGTTTGTTGGAAACTGCTTACAACAAAAATGTGTTTGAATTGAGTTGAAAACTTAAAGAAAAAATGAACTTAGATCAAACTTCTAAGTTAGAAGGTAATTTTCATTATTTAAATAAAACATAATACAAAATATTACTGTAAATTTTTATAATAAAATTTTAAAAAGCAAAGATGGTCAATACTCCGATCACTCAATTTGATTCTTATCTTACTAAAGAAAAGTCCTGCTATCAAGAATGCCCTTTTCAATTCAATTGATGTGGGTGGAATCGTCTTTAATTAATTTACATTAATCTGTCTTTAAAGAAGACAGATTAATGTTATGTTTTTTTTTCACCTGTAGCCTGGAAGATTTCTATTTCATTTTTGAGATATATTGCAGTACTTCTTTTGCCATCTAGTATTCTTGATTTTTCTGCCTCAGCTGCTTTAATAGCGGCATCATGCTTACAGCTCGATAATTCGGCCGTTTGTTTGGCTTTAATAATCAGGTTTATGAAGAAAAACTTCATACTTGTTCATATCCTTGCCCAATTTGGCATAATGCAGTTATCGAAGCTACTGGACATGGTTAAAAATTAAGACAGCATAAACACAATTATTCCAAATATTACAAGTTCTGACGTGTAAAGAATTTTCAGAGTCCTGTCACANCCGACGAAACTCCCGGTTTTGCCGAATGCTCCGGAGACCGCCCGGTCCACATAAGTACAAACCATCTTGGGCTTCTGCGGATAAGCGAAAATTTACTTTAAAAAATTCTAGCTTATTTGTTATTCGCCTATAAAATCCCAAAGTTAAGTACCTTTAGTCTACGGGAAATCCTAGTATGAACTAATTTAAAATCGATATTTACTTCTTTTGGTATCGAGAATTAAATATCCGTGCTTAGTAAGCCTGCCTTAGTAAACTGCCGTCGATTAAAAATGATTTTGTGGCCTGTAGTGTCTAAATAACTCTCGTTAAAGGTTTCGCTAAGATGTAGTAATTCATTAACGTCTTATAAGTGCATACTTTCCATATGGGAAGAAGTAGCGTGGAGAGCCGCAGAAACCTGCTGAAAATTGCCCACACCTGACTTAACCCAATGTAACTTAATACACATGAATAGGAATGTTTGGTTCTTGCTTTTAATTAAAATATGCATATATGGGTAAGGAAAAGAACAAATTTAAATCATCTAATGTAATCAAATAAATCTAAAATTTAAAAGCTAATATATCGAGTTAACTGTTTCTTCTTTTGTTAAATAGATATTGTAAATAACCATTTAACAACTATTGCTTCTGTTGTATTTCAATATACCGTATATATATAATTAGATTGCCTTTCTTGTTGCTGTAAATAGATTTACCGAATAAAATATTTATTTTTAAAAGTTTAGACCAGTTGCAATTTTTCCAAGAAGTAGAAGAAATAATAATCTAAACTTGGTGGGTCATAATGGCTTCACCTACCTTACCATTAATTCTATATACTGTACATCATCAAGTAGTCGGCCTGTGGACTTTGTCGAATAACATTTGATAAGTAATTCCTTTGCAAAAGTTTCTGAATCATTTTATTCACGAAATATCGATATTGTGATCGATTTCGGATTAAGTATTTTCGGAAGATCGGCTTAAAATCTGTTTTAAAAGTTAAATTATATATTCTTTCTTACCTCCGTGAAAATAAACGGTACTTTTTCCTCGTACGTCTTCGGTCTAATTGGGATGAATGGATATTAATAACCGATATTATTTTCGAACGTATATATCATTTTGTTTTCGACGGCCAACCCTATCTCATACATCCTGTTTTTTTCGATGAAATTACCAATTTAATCGAATACAACAAAGTAATATTAAACGGCAATTACACAAAGAATCAATTGTCATCTACGTTAAGACAATGTGAATTTAAAATGATTTTAATCATACGTATAAATTATGAATATCATCCGATAATAGAGTCCTTATAAACACAATATAATAATAATACAATATGTTTTACTACAAGAGAGATTTATTAAGAAGATTGCGGTTCGTTGATTTTAATACAGTATCAAATGGGATATTGTATTTTTTAAATTGAAATCAATGAATTGCCACCGTCTTAATAAATTTCTCCTGTAATAAAGCACGAGTTATTAGACAAGGAACAAAAGTTAAAATGCCAAATTTATCCTAACAACTAAATTATCAAAACATCTGGATAATTTAAAACATAAATTACTCTTGTATCCAGTGTCGGCTTCTACATAAAAAACTTGTTAAATTGCCAAAATGGCCATTCATTGAAAAAAAAAGTAACATCTATTCTTATTCATAATTATTTTGTGTTTTCTGAAGAATAATAATAATAGTTTTTTTTTATATTCTTGATAAAAATAGGATACGAAAAGTTACAAAGTTATTATTATTGATAATGATACAATTGATATTAATTGAAGTGATACGAATTTTGTTACATTCCGTTTGAGGAGTTCGGTGGAAAAGTGGTACAAATAAAGTATAACTCTGTGATAAAACTTAATGAGTTTTTTTTAACCAATGTTAAGTTATGTATATATATTTACTTGCATATTACTGAGATTTATTATCCATTATTTTTAAATTATCAATTTTTCAATTAACTAATATCGTTTCATTAATATTCCTTCTACCATTCCATAGTAAAAACATAAAAGACCTAACAGATAGTAAAAGTTATCACAAGGTCAAAAAAACGTACGATGTTATCGGAATAATTCCCAACTCATAATCACCCTTTGACTTTTGACACATTTAAGAGAAATCGCGACGAAAGATATTTTAAAAACATTACTTACATTACGTGGCATTTTCGTAGTGTGAAATTTAAATTAATTTTCCCCAAGTAGAGGTTATAAGCCGATTTTTCCACACGTCATAGATTAAAATCCACAGTTTAAACAAAACCGAGTGCGCAATTAAGTATTATATGACAAATACGCTCTCATTTCTAAAGATAATACTTCCTCTGAACTTTGATTTCCTCTCGAGATGTTTTTACGTTCAATGCTTCCTGCCATCGTGATGTTTACAATAACTAAAATCCTTAAAAAAAATCCCACTCCCAGCCACTGTACAAAATTACTTTTATAAAACTTACTATCACTTTCAAATCTAACCGGATGAAAACCGCCTATGCAGCAATATATTAAATTTTTAATACTTGATATTATAAGTTAAATTATGAGTATTAAAATGCATTAATAATTATTATTACCTTTCCTTTCTCTCCATTACGATTGAGAAAAACTCTACGCTCTTGAAAATCGTTATCCATTTATTAGATTTCGAGCAAATAGTCGAAATAAAATATGGCTTAACACGCTACTTTCTTATCAATTTTTCGTAATTTTGATATACCAGATATTTTCCTAATCTCCACGCAATTATTTTCACAATCTCCGTACAATTATTTACCAAAATCTACCTTTAAAAAAGTTAAAATTTTGTACATTATATACTTACCACGTTTTCTTCTGTTGTGTCTTCAATGACTTAAGTCGGTCTAAATTGGGGTGAATGTCGAATCAATAGCTCCTATTAAATGGGGGGAAAAAAAAGACAGATTGAGAATTTTGTTATACCAATTCAAAGATAAAATAATACCGGATATATATTATTAACCTCTTGTTAATTTTAATGCTACGTCTTTTTTTAAGATTGATAAAAGTTGAAGGCACAAACGAACTTAGTGTCTTACAAAGAGAGGAAAAAATAATTCTTACCTCGGATTGCTGGCATTTGATTTACTTTTACTTACCTCCGACCACGAGTGATTCTAAAAAGGTCGTCGATTCCGAGCAAAAGGCGACCTTAAATTTCGCTGGAAATCATCATCATCGAAAGAACTACGAACACTGGTGAGATCTTTGGTGTCGAATTACGAGAGGGGTCAAATCTGGGAGACCACGCATGCTCCAAAAATTTAAAAAATTTTGTTTATCCAGATTAAGCACACGCTAACATAGTTTATAGACGAAGCTTTGCTTACATTTCTGTATAGTTTCAACTCCAATTGTTTATTTTCATCGATTCTCTCTTAACAAGGAAGCTTTTGTACATAAAACGTCGCCTTTGTTCAATCGGCAATTTCCCAATTAGGATAAATATTTGATTGATTAGTACCACTACGGAATTTTCTCATGCTAAAAATAATAATAATAATAATAGGACGAAGCTACCGTATTATGTTACGCAAATATAGAAAATTAATGAATGTTGTAAGCCAATACGCTGAATTGTATTACCAGTCTTTACGTTACGAGTCTATTCGCGAAGGACGATTTAGAACATTTTTTTAAAGTGTTGGAGGAAATTAATGACCGTCGTTTAGTGATTATCGATATTCCTTCGTTAAAACAAAAATCGTAGTTTAATAGTGAAATCTGATAACATATTTTATTAATGCTATGAATAATTTCCATGTGGTTGCCATATTTTTGAGAGAAGTACAAGGATAAAACGTCATTTCTAATTGATTCATCGCCGTTTTAAACAAATGCTAATTACAATCTCATCAAATCTGAAATGGTAATACGAAAATATCGTGTTTTAATTAACATAAATTATTTTACATGGATAATTCTATTTCTACAATTATAAAATATACAATTATTTAATTTAATAAAGAAATAGTTGTAATTCTTAAGTTAATATTTTAAATGTGAATTGCCATATTGTAACCTCGGCATTAACGTATTATGTTACTGTTTTAATTAAAACGTGTTGGTTAAAAAATAAAAAAAAAAAACATTTCGTTTAGTACTAGAAATTCGTTAAAAAATTTATTATAAAAAGTTCTCAACTGTTTAATATAAGGCGCTGTACTTTGCAAATAAAAGATATATTATTCGGAATCATCAACAAACGTTTACGTTTAACTTTATATATATGGGTTAAGTTTCAACTGATTAACGTTATCTACAAAATATCAATATCCACTTTAATTTAGTAAAAAAATACATTTCTAGGAAAACAACCACTTTATAAACGATTACGATAAGCGGTAGTTATATAAAAAAAAAATGTATCTGTAGCTTTTATATTAAAATCTTCACTTTGATTATAGGAGTCTAGGCCCGAAGAAATGTTTATATCAATAAGTGGATATTTCAAACTATAATACGTAGAATACAGTATTATTAAAAAAATTTTACGCCTTGACTTTCACCAAAATTAATAAGTTCTGCTCTTCCTTTATATTGCAGTAACTGTAGTGCTTTTACTAGTAATTCTTCATCCAATTCGTAAAATTCTGTCAAAAAATAAAACAAATAAATAAGAATCACTGTTTATTATACAATAATATCGTATATATATATATATATTTCCTGCTATATGCCAAAATTCAGAAATAATTATTTAGGATCATAAACATTTTTTTAGGAACTGATATAAGTTGGACTCTGTACTGGAATATCATATATTTTCCTCGTAAAACGTCCTAGTTAGGTTTTTATTATCTTTTTAACTTTCTGTTCTGCGGAGGAATTTTTTCCACGTTCGATGGGGGGCGGTGGATGGTGAGGGACGGGGTCTAAAACATCCGAGTCAACCCATTCACGGAATTTCTTCGCCAACTCCGAAAGCGACAGGCTAGTGCCAATACAGTTATTTGACTTCCCTTCATTAAGTTTGAACATTTTTAGTTATTGAAAACTTTAACTAGTTGTAAAATTTGTTAAAGTTGTTTATAGTTGTTTAAAATTTGTCATTTAAAGTTTGTTCGTAAACAACGAACAAATAATGCAAATAGCTGGAATCGTTTATGTAACACTAGACACCAGCAAGTACGTGTTTGAGGTAGCAAAAATAATTCTGTAAAGAAATAAATAAATTGCATTTTTATGAGCAATTTTTTTAAAAAAACACAGAGAAGACAAATAACTTTACTCGCTTCGGGTGGCAAAAAGCTAGAGCCAGTCCTAAGTATAGGAAAACAAATGGGATGAATACATCAAATGGTTTTGTTTCAGACTTTGTGCCAATGGTCATCGGTTTTATATAAAACGTATTTATGAAGAAATACTTGCGCTTGTTTTCTTCATAAGTAATTGATAATTGCATGTATTTCATTCTGGTTGATCAAATTACTGTGCAGAAATTAATACATTTCCTTTTTCCGCAATGTCAAGTAATTGTAACTTCCTTAAGTTTATTCCAACTAGTGATATGAGAATAACAACTATTCGTTATTTATATCTAGATCGAGAGTCCCCAAACTGTCGACACTTCAAGGATTCTTCTACCCTTTATCGATCGTCGTTTTCTTTTTTGGTAATAATACAATTAATAATAAATCGTTTCACGGGAAATAAAAGGAATTAAAAATACAGGAATTTTGGATTATTATTTTAACTTCCTTTTCACTTAATTTCTTTTCTATTATCAAATACTAAATATCATATCCATTTAATTTTGAAGTTACTAAGAATAAAGTGAGAAATATGGAACTTGTAATCAAGCTAAATTAACAAAATCTTATAGTTCAATATAAAAAAAAATTAGCGTAATCATTAAAGAGGCAAAAACAAATTATTTAATACGCATTATACTGTCTAATAATAAAACAAAAAAGCTGATAAAATTCTTGTACGGAAAAATAATACCGAGGTAACGATCATTATCAGTAGCTAGTAAGGTATTCATCATCCGTTACCAAGCTAATTAGTGGGTATTGAATATACGAGAATGGCTATAAATATCGGTTACTCAAATTTAAAATATACGCTCTCCACCTCAAATTAGTAGTGGCTTGCCCCTGTACATAATACTTTTCCTTTAGAAATAGACAGAGACAGGCAGACAAACGACAGTGTGAATTTATAGGCCCCAATAGAGCATGTTATTTTTGTTAAAATTCAAAGTTTCAATTACACAAAACGTTTTAAAATCATGGCTGGCAAGATTTCCACTTTCGATACCCCGATGCCAATACTTTAATACTAGTTATGATACCGGCCATTATCGATACTTTTATAATATTCGGACGTCCGTAGATAAGATTATTTAATATTTAAAAAAGCTTACGCATGCCGAAACCTTGGGATTATAACAAGTATTTTTTTTTAGTTTTTAATTTATTTTAGTTAAAGTAAACATACTTTAACTAAAATAAATTACTGAAACCGGAATGAGAAAAGAATGGTGGTATTTTGAACTAAATAAATAAAAAATCAACAAAAATTGAAATTAAATTGAAAAATATTTATACAGTAAAAGCTATTAAAAATATATGTTGTGCACCATTCGAGTTTCTATGAAGTTCCTTGAGTACTGGTATTTGTGTAATTGAAACTGGTAAAATGTAAAGTATTATCTTATAACACACTTTCAAAATATACCCTCAAAAAAAGTACTTTATACTAATAATGAGAAACTATAAAATTGCTAAGATTAGAATTTGTTGACTGTCTAAAATTGGCTTAATTAATTAAAACCATCCCTGGTCTTAAATCTTTAAACTTTTGATTCTTTGTTTCATGGCAACACACTTCCAGATGTTACTGTATGTATAAAATTTAGGAATTTCATTATAATCTTTAAAAGGTTGTTTGCTTTTGTAATAATTTAGGTCCCATATCCATGGAACTGGTTCCAATTATTTACGAGAGCATTTAACACCCAAATGCCGACTAAACACGTTAGTACATAAAACTGAATTAAATGTATTCAAAGACAGTTTAAAAGACGAAAGTTCGTAGACATTAATGTCCCATAGGATACTTTATTTCTGAATTTTCATATTAAAAAAATTATATATATATATATATATATATTGCTAATCTTTAACTTCTTCTATTTTATTCTAATTCAAAACATTTTTAACCTTCTCAAGATCATCCTTAGTGCTTCCATGTAGAATTAGATTTCTAAAAATAATATTTGCTTTAAATGTTTAAAAATATGTCAGAAATTTCAAAAAATGATGATTCAAAATAATCAACATTAAAAATCAATGTTCTTTTTAGAAATCTAAATTCTACCTGAAAGCACTGAAGATGTCCTTCAAGATGTTTTAAACATTTTGAAGTTAGAATAAAATAGCTGAAATTAAAGCTTAGCATTATATTTTTATTTTTAATCAAAGCTATTATTTGTTAATTCAGTCATATTAAACACAAAGACATTCTCCTTGATAAAGAAAGTTATAATCAGACTAAGTTCTACCTGAGGCTGAAATTATTAACAAAAATGACTTACAAATAGCCTAGCATACTTTTCCAACTGTATGATGTTTCTTGTAAACAAAAATAACCTAGCTCATAGATGTGCACATCAAAAAAAAAAAGGGTGCGTGCCACATATCAATGTAAACAGACTAGCATGGCAGAATTGCAGACGAGTTTTAGTGTGAGTTCTTTCGCTGTTAAAATAGTGTAAATTTGTAAAAATATTTGCAAGAACTTTGTTTCATCATAATTTCACAATTTCTACGAAATTCCTGGACAAAAATTAATAGTTCATCCAGACAGCGAGTCAATTCCTGGACTGTTCAGGTGAAAACTGGATGGGTGGTAACACTACATGTCAGTCATTGGGGATGCACTATAACCTTACCAAGTTTGATCAAAATCAGTGACGCCAATGTCATGCCATTCCCTCATGAGACATAGCTAGAATTTTCTGAAATTTTGCAAGGAGGTTTTGTGTATCAGGGGATTATGCTATTAAATTTTGGTTGTTAAAGGTCAGTGGGGGTTAAAGGGGGTTATGTGTCATATCTGAATTAGGGTATGCTGAGTTTTGCAGTAATTGGACAGTTCTATCTGAAATGGATATAAACATAGTGAAAACATTTGCTTAGAGTATATCTATCTATTCTTTTTAATTTAGGTTACTTATGTTACTCCTATGCAAGTCCCTAGTCCCTAACTGTAACTGATTTAGAACCGGCATGCACGTTATTCTTCGCATTGTAAAATGACATTGCACATGCATCAGGACTTCTGTTCGAACAAACCTAACCTGCCATCCAGGTAAGCGATTTTGAAAAGGTGGCAACACTACTGACATGTGCCAAGCAGTAAGGCACAATACTCAAAATTAAAAGAGAAAATTGAGGTTGAAAATTCGTGTTTTGAATCTCGGTGCTATCAATGTATTTTTTTTGTTTTCATTTTTATACAAAATTATAATTTTTAATATTTTTAAATTTATAATATTGTAAGAGAGAAGAACTGATTTATTTTCAGAAAACTACAAATGCACAATAAACAGGGTAATAAAACAATAAAATCAATCTGTTTCAAGTAAGAGTCAATTTTGAAAGCAATTAACAAATACTTCCTAACATTATTCATCTAAAAACAAAACATTTTCTGTATTTTCATGTACAGTATGTACTTACTATGGCAACAAAGTCATTGTTCAACCTAAATACATCTATAATTGCATCTTTGTTTGCTAAAGAATGAAAAAATGGCTTTGATATCTCATGCTAACATCAATAGCATAGAAATGTGTTCTGCAGAAGAATCACTGCACACATTACAAAATTTACATATTATGAAAGCATCCTTCAAAATCAAGACCTAATTGCAGCCAAAGGTTCTTCAACAATTTCAAAAGTTGTGAAGGTGGTAGAAAAAACATCGAGCACGCTGATATTTTCCAATGTATGAATGTAAATATGGTATGAATGATTCTCCTCCAAATTAGTTGATGATAGAGAAGTGTTTTTAAACATTAATCAAATTTGTTTTTCCAGTGGCATGTAAATATTCTTCTTATTGTAAAAGTCTGCATTTATTCAATGTGCACACTGCAGAAATAATTTTTGTAGAAGCATGTGAAACAATAAACATCATCCACAAAATTGTGCTCATAGAAAGCAAACAGATTGAACAATGTTAATAAAAAAAGACATTTTTATTAACAAAATTGGTCTTGAATAATCATAATTTTGTTTAAATCTATTCCTCTTCCCAAATGAATTATAAATAAGTGTTAGTACAAATTCCATACATACTATACACTAATGTTCAAAAATAACTTTTAAATAAATATAATAAATTAAAAAACACCAAGAAAAAATTATAAATTATAGTTTTGTATAAAAAAAGTTGATATCATTGAGATTCAAAACATAAACTTCATGATCACAAAACTGGCACAACCCCACC